TTAAATATTTTAAATAATTAAAAAAGTAGATCAGAGATATATTTATAGTAATTTTGTAGCCAAATTTGCCTGCAAATCTTTACTAATTAAGGGATAGTGTTTGACAAAGCTCCAGAGTTGCTCTTATTACTTCTTTGCTTAGTAATACTATAGCCTGCCAAAGTGCCTCGCTTAACTGTCTGTTATTCTTCTTTTTTAGCTCTATTTCAGTAAACAAAACACTCAGTGAATAGACTTTGTACCCAATAGCAGCTAGGTAGAGTTTTGTTTGTATAAAGTACAATATATATAGAGTTTTTATAGTTTGGTTTTTTGTGAAAATTTTGGTATGAGGGATCATCAGGAAGAGATATATATTTATAAGTTAGTTCGAATAGCAGTTTAAATAGTATTTTAATTATATTATTTAATAGTAATTTTTTAATAGTGTTAATAAAAATATATTAATTTATCTGCAGAGCCTTTTGTGATTTCAAAATACTTGAACAAACAGTATAAAAACTGTTCCAACAGGTTACTCCAGAAACGCTTATTGCAAAATATTTATTATATTTGGCATATTGTTCTTCTTTTAATTGTGCTATAAAAAATTTATAAATTAGATTTTTAAAATATATAGAAAGATGAATTGTATGATCAATTGTTTTCTTAAAGTCAATTGATTTCTTAAATATTTTACCAGTATACAAATTTATCTGATGTGCATAACATAGCAAAAACACGATTGACCTTTTTTCAATTCTTAAATAGTATTTATATAAAAATAAGGTATTAAACTTTTAATTTATTTAGAAATAAAAAATAAATATACCTAGTAGCAGTATATACTCCCATGCTATTTGTAACAATATAAATAACTTTAATTAAATATATACAGTTAGGTACTATATTATTGTGGTAAAAATTTGTATAAAGCTAAATGTTTTTAACTATTTTTAACCAGGGGTGATTTAACCACCTCTATTAAAATTTAGAGTTAGGGTATGGTTTTAGAATTTTTTTTTTTATATATAATATAATATTTATTAGATATAAGGTTCTAACTTTAGTTTTTGTAAGGTTTTCAGAGGTTCTGAACATTTTTACTTAGAGTACCTGATCCAGTTTACTTAGTACGTTTTTGAGATATAGCACCCCTAGTGATTTAACCAGAGGAGCAAGTTAGCAATAGTCAAGCTAAATAAATAAGATATAAAACTAAAAATTAAAATATAAATTTATTAAATCTATATTTTTTAATTAAAAAAAAGATTATAATTCTATGCAGTACTTTTTAAGATAATTAAGTTTAAGTAAAGTTTTAAATTTTTAAATGAGTACTAAATGCTAGTTTTTAATATAATTTTATTATAAACTTAAATACTAATTTTTAGTATATATATAAAACTTAATTTTTTATTAGTAAACTAAACTTAATTATTAATTAATATTTGTTTAGCATAACAAATTATATATATTTTAAAATTTTTAGAATTTTTTAAAAAATATTTATTAAATTACTAAATATAGTATTAATTACTATATTTAGTAATTTATTAATTTAAATTTAATAATTTAACTTTTAGTTTTTAACTATTTTTAACCATAGGTGATATAACCACTCCTATAAAATTTAGGGTTAGGGTGCAGTTTTAGGAATTTTTTTTTTTTATAATATATATTAGATATAGGGTCCTGATTTTAGTTTTTGCGAGGTTTTTGGGAGTCCTGAACATTTTTACCCGATCTAGTTTACTTAGTACGTTTTTGAGATATAGCGCCCTCTGGTAATGTAATCAGGGAGGCAAGTTAGCAATAGTCTAACTTTTATATTTAATAATAATATTTAATTTAAAATTTTTTAAATACAGTCAGACCTCGATATAATCACCAGGTTAGGAAATAAAATTTTGGTGATTATAAAAGTCGTGACTATATAAAGATCAAAATTTATAAGTTTTATAATAGTGAGATCAAAAAAATAGTGTGATTATAACAAGGTTGTGATTATATTGAGGGTGACTATAACGAGGTCTGACTGTATTTCTAAAAATTTGTAATTTGTTATACTAAACAAATTTTAATTAATAATTAAGTTTAGTTTACTTAATAAAAAATTAATTTCTAATATATAGCAATTATTATAACTAATTTTTAAAAATTACTATTTTAGTACTTGTATAATATTGTACAAAATTATATAATATTAATTATCTTAAAAGATACTATATAAAATTTTATAATTAAAAAGATCTACATACACTCTCTCCCGACCACATCAGTCGAGAAAAAGTAAATTTTAACAAGACACAATACATAAGAATATTCACACAAGCAAGTCTCGAGACAACAAGGAAATAGGGGCTCTTGCCCTTACTGCAGGGAAAAAAAGATGCAGAGAAACACCTCCAGAACCCACTTGTGAAGGCAGTATGGGGAAAAATAAAAAAAAAGTGAAAACAACTGACTCAGTCGAAAAAGAATATCAAAAGACACAAATACAAAAGATACCTCTACACAATATCTCAAGTCAGAGTGAAAATGATAAGACATGCCAGAAAGATGTGATAAGCACTGCTTTAACCTGGGACGACAAGGTGGAGCAAGACTTACAGGTGTTAAAAGACTGTATGAACATGCAAACGGAGGAGAATACAGAAGAAGAACACATACCAACATATATATCTAGTGAAATAGCCAAAGTAAACAAAGAAACATCAAAACAAAGACATGTTCTAAATGATGACTGTGCAGAAAACACAGATATCCTGCTTGAGGAAAGTGTTGCCCAACTGCAGTCAAACAAAGACAAGGACAAAGCCAAAGAAACCAGCCCAGCTAGACAAGAACAAACATGGGCCTCCCTTTTCCCATGCTTAAAGAGAGGATGCTCCACATACGCATCCTTCTCTCCAAGACAGAATATTAGATCGAACAATGAAAACGTCCTCATATTTGATATACAAGGAATTCAGGCCTCGTTTAATGAAATTATGATCTCACTGTTCGAACAAGTTAAAAATGATGTTAGTGCTGCTAAACAACACCTCACAAAAGGATCTCGTACCCACTTAGAAGTGGCATTCACGGATGCTGAAAAAAGAAATTACTACGCCTCGGAGGGAATCATTATCTTTAACAGGATATACTATGGATATATCCCTACGGATGGCAGAAAATCCTTTTTGCCAGTTAGATATAGAAATGTACCTTTAGGTATCAAAGAAGAAGTTTCGGGTGCTTTGATGGATGCCTTTGAGAGTTTTGGAAAAATTGCTACTATCAAACCACTATTAATCGAGGGAACCCTATACGTATCCGATCAATGGATAGTGATCTTTGAAACAACCAATAACCCAGATCTCGAATCCTGGCTTCCTCATTTTACATATATATGGGACAATAAGGTTTCTACAGAATGGAAATTAGCACCGAAGATTTGCTATTTCTACGACCAGGAGGGCTATATAAAGAAAGAATGCACCCAATTTCGTGAATCACTCGAACTGAGACAATATGCACGAGAATACTATGGAAACAAACGAGAACAGCTCAGCACAAAAAAACCTGAAAGCACAGAAAGTCCCACCCCTACCCCTATAGAAGGGGGCTCAGAAGACTCAAAAAGGATACTCTCACCAGATATGGAAACTGAATCTACAGAAATACAAGAAGTCTCCAAGGTAGCAATGAAAGAAAAGGTGAAAACCCATAAGGAAAAACAAACTTCCGAGCCCACAAAAGAAATAGAAACCCCTGAGCCCACAAAAGAAACAGAAACAAGAGAAAAAGGCAATATTCCCCCAGACATTATAGTGCCCAGAGACGAAATTACTATTTTAGGCTATGACTCACATTCTAGCAATCCCAATACTAGTGATAAGAGACACCCGCATGCAGATTTATTGAGTAACCCTGCAGCCACCATGAACTATATGGTTGAGGATGACTTTATCCCGGTATCATACAGAAAAATGAATAGCCAAAAAAAGAAAGGCAGCATATCGAATGCAATAGGCAATGCAAGAAATGCTCCTTATGGAATCCAGAGAGGACGGGGACCCCTTCCCAAATCCTAAACAAGGAGAATACAACCTTTTACATAATCATGTCAACAATTAAAGAACTAAAAATAGCCACACTCAACATCAAAAATCTAACCGATTAGAGAAAACTCATTAGATATTCATCATAAATCAACTAAATAATTTTAGTTTTAGGTATTCCAACATAGAATACCTTAAGAGGACACGGTAGGATATGATTATCATCATCATCTTTTGACCAATGATGACGATCTTTCAATTTACCACCAATTGCCATGCGAGTGTGATCAGGAATGAATTTACCAACGAAGAATTCATCAATATTCACTTCCTATTTAACAAGTGTCAGATTATATTGTCTTTCTAATATTATCTATTGCAATAATTTGTCACCTCTGTGTCTCTTAATTTTTGAATTAATTTGAAGTCGGCGGTATCCCATATTTTTGCACATCCTACATTACAAAACGTCACAAGCATTGCACCATCGGGAGAAAGTGTCATGCCAGTGATTGGCCCTGTGTCAATAAAAACGCGTAAATTTATATTTGTTCGTCAATATTGCTATGAGATTCATGAAAAATATCAATTATTATTACCTTGATCACGCACATCCACGTTTATCAATTCTAGTTGATGTTCTTCGTTAATATAATTTAACATTCCAGTGTTGCTTTCGGCATGGAATTTCCAATATTTGTCTGGGTAAAGGTTAGCAGCCTTTTCGACCATACTCGGCTGATATTGTGGAGCCTTCTTTTCCTACAGATCAAATTAATGAATACTTGTATTGTCTAAAGCATGATTACTTTTGAATCTACAAACCCAACACAATCACATCATAATAAATTTATCAACAAGTACACGTCATTCCAAATACTACGCACCGATCTTTTTAACAAGGAAAAAGACCGAACATCTTATAGCTAGATAGATCGGCATTTTCACCTGTAAATAGGCTTGTTAATAAGAAATATATACCTCAGCTTTTTTGGTGGTATTCTTCTTTACTTGTATTGCTTTCGATTTACCCTTGTTAGTCGTAATCATCGTCGCAGGCGATTTTGCCTTTTTCTTTGGACCTTCTCGTGTAGCTGGCTTCTTTTCTTTGTTCGACAGAGTATCTCGCAATTTACCTTTTTTCTTAACATCTTTTTTTGCCTTCATTGGGAAAATAAAAACAATAATAATTTGCGATGATCTTCATATACGCGTAGATTGCACGTCTGAAATGTGTGCCAGGTTATGCAAATTGCCGATCATAGACTATCAGTTAACCTAACGAATGTTTATTCGTTACCGCCAATCAAAATTGATTTTTTTATATAATACAGTCGAACCTCCATAATTGCACCCATATATAAATTGGTTCTACTCCAAAATCACGAAAGACAGATTCTCGAAAAGGACACAATACCGACAAAGTTAGCCAGCATTAGGTATAATGCTGGCTAATTTAGTCAATATTATGTTCTTTCGGGGAAATGGCCTTCGGGATTTTGGGGTAGAACCATATAAATTCTCTCTAAATGGACGCCTTGGCCTGGTCCCAAATATATAAAAACATGGTAAAAATACCCTCTATAAATGCACACCCTCTCTAAATGAATATTTTTAAAAATTTGTCCTATGGTCCCGAGGGGGTGCAATTATAAAGGTTCGACTGTATATATTTTTTTTAAGCGATTCTGCCTTTATTCATGTGAACTGTTATACAAAATGTACTAAATCTCTACAACCTATTGCTCTAACTTAATAAAGACTTACTAGACTAATTACCTAGTGCAACTTGCTATAGCAACTGTTTATCTTTTTTGAAATTTTTAACTTTTTAAAAATTTTATACTATTAAATAATATCTTTCTTGGTCATAAGTAAGCTATTATATGCTTTGTCAAAAATGCTTAACAATTTTGTTGAGTTTTGGCTAGCAAGAACCATGCTAGCTTCTTTTTTTATAAAATTTAGGTTTTAATTATTTTGTCTTTTTCTTTATTTATTTTTATTTTTATTTTTTATTATTTGTTTTTTCTAAAATCTTTTTTTTGTAGCCAATATTTTGTTAAACTGTGTTTTTTTGTCTATTTTGTTCTTTTTTTTGAGCCTTCTTTTTTTTTTTTTTTTTTTCTTTAATTATATTATTTTTCTTTTCTTATTTTGTAACTAACTTATATCTAATGCTTTATATATGCTTAAAGAACTACATTAGCAAAAAATGTAGATGTAAAATTTTTTTTTTTTTTTTAATTTTCTCGGTCTACAATAGCCGAGACGCTGTTGGCGCTCTTTATTATTTATTCATTTTATATAATATTAATCAAATAACCACTTATATACATTTTTAACTTT